CCTTCTGTGACTTTATATTATGTTGTGGGTGGGGTTTGTTGTTTGTTTGTTGTGGTGCTAGGGGTCCAGCTCAGCTATTGGATTAAAATGCATGTAGAATGTGAATAATACTTTATGCACAGCTGTGGTTTGCTGCTCAAACTGTATGAATGAGACTATTTCATATTGTAATTTTTTTACTTTCTTGAAACTAGTTCCTTCGTGTTAATACATACAAATCTAGTTGATTTGTTTAAATTGCCACATAGCATAATGTATTAAGTGTCTTGTGGATACAACACTATTTACACATGCTGTCTCTGTGGACTGTGTTGTTTGTCCATTGCTGTGTAAAAATGACCATCAGTACAGCATAAGGTAATCCATTGCTTAGCTCAAAGCTCTTGGATCAGGTGTCAGCCAGGTCTCCACCATTAGTCAGTACAGCATCATAAGGTAATCCATTGCTTAGCTCAAAGCTCTTGGATCAGGTGTCAGCCAGGTCTCCACCATTTTATGCTAACCACGGTGTAGGTCAGATGGGCTTTATGTAGAGGCTGTAGGAGCAACTACATCCATTCTCTTACAGTCCCGTTGGTTCTAGAATAAGACTTCCCATGAGGTAGATTAGTCAAAAATATACAGATCCACTTAACGTAAGTATCGCCTAGCCTGGGAGCCCTCATGAAAGAAATGAAGGGCCAAAGAAGCAGTTAGCATTAGCCCTGCACTTACTGAACTGGAAAAAGCAGAGTAAGTCGTGAAAACGTGGTGAGGCTGGCTTGGGCCCAGGGACTGGAATAGAGGAGGAGCTAGGAAGCTAAGGGAAGAATCCGCTGCTAGGTTCATGCAGTTCTTGTACCTTTGAGTGCTCTGCTGTCCTAGAGCCTCTCAGCCTTTTGTTTTCCCCCAGTACTAGGAATTGAACTGAGAGCCTTGTGCTTGCTGAGCAAGCGCTCTTCCAACCATTTACAATCCTAGTTTTTTTTGTTGTTGTTGTTAGTACCAGCAATCAAACTCAGGACCTTTCACTTATGAGGCAGTTGCGGCGCCACTAAGCTAAATTTTTTGAGACAGTCTCACTGTGTAGTTGAAACTGACCTGGAACTCACTATGTAGTCCAGGCTGGTCTCGAAATCACAGCGATCCTTCTGCCTCAGCCTCCTGAGTGCTGGGATTACAGGCATGCGCCACCACGCCCAGCCTCAGGACATTTTTTTTTTAAAGACATGTTCTCAGTTACCCAGGTTGGCCTGGAACATGGGTTCTTCCTGCCTCAGCCTCCTGAGTAGCTGGAATTACAGGCATGCACCATTAGGCCTAGCTCCCAACTTGTTAAAGCAGTTTACCTGTCTTCCTCTCACCATCTGCAAGCCAGCAACAGAGCATTCAGTCCCCCTTGTCCTTCACAACTATCTCATTTCCTCATCTGCTAGAGACAGAGAGAAAGAGCTATGCTTTAAAAAACAAACCCTCCCTGATTGGGTTATCATTATATATTAAGCTAATCCCACTTAGGACTTTAATTACATCTTTAAACTCCCTTCATTTGAAGGAATCACTGAATGAGATATCCCAGATGCCTCACACGCCTGGTGGTTGATGCCAGCTGTTGGCTGGGAGCTCAGCTGGGCTTCTCTCCAAAGCACCAACATATGGGCTCTTGGGTGTCCTTACCCTTCTTGCAGCCTGGCAGGTAGCATCTAAGAGGAAGTATGAAGCCAGGAGCCAGCATACCAAAGGCAGAAGCCAAGAAAGGTGGTGCGTGTCTGTAATACCAGCATTCACAAGGCTGAGAGAGCATCACTGAAAGTTTTAGGCCACTCTGGGTCCTGTCTCAATAAAACCAAGCAAACAAATGCAGTATTTGAATGCATATGCATGAGTTTCTGTGATGTATATACTTAGAATTGTGAGATCATAGAATATGTGCATTTTCCGTTAATGCTGATGTCTTATTTCTCTGTAGACTAAAACAGTCAAGGGGAGAAAGATGATGGGATTTTTTCCTGTTTATCTCTCTCCCCATTGGTCAAATTTCACAGAATACAGTGGTACCTTGGTTCAAGAACTTAATTTTTTTTTTTCTGGTACCGAGGATCAAACTCGGGTTCTTGTGCTGGCGAGGCAGGCAGTAGAACCACTGAGCTAAATCCCCAGCTCAAGAACTCAATTCTTTCCATGATTCTGGTCAAAAACTGAATTGGACAGGAGTGAGATCAAATTCAGTGGATAGGTTCAGTGTTGATCCTGTGGGGAAGTTTGATTCGGTTCTTGTCAAATTTGATGAGACCAGAATTGTGGAGGGAATTAAGCTTGTGAATTAGGTACCACTGTACTGTTCTGCATGCCTTGGTTGCATCATCTGGGCCTGTGATAGCCATCCAGGAGCAGGAATCCCTGAGCAGGAAATGTGTTTAATCCAAGGTGGGAATAGCAAAAGTGTAAACTCAGCATTAGAAAGGGGCTGGCTCCAGAGCTGCACTAAGCCAAGCTGGTTGATGACTGCAGTACAACTAAGTCTACTTGTGGAAGAGCGGTAGGTACAAGGCAGCTGCGGAAGCGAACGTCCAGAGGGTGCTGGCGCCAGGGGAGCCAGAGGACACTCAGTGTCTGCCCAGGCGCGTTGCTGCCTCTCCGGGATCGCGCTGTGTAAGTGCACGTTCCACCATGTGGCCAGGCCAGACTGAGCTAACAGTTCTGTACTGTAGGACCTTTGTACTAAGGCTCTTTGTTTTTGTAGGCAAAATAGCAATAATCAGTCACTTAAGATGCCTATAAATAAGAAATTCCTACCCATGTACAGGATAAAAATCCTACCTAGATCAATTATGAGCTTTATGGGTTTCTTTAAACTTTTTATTATAAGATAGAAAACACGTATAACCTTTTTTCTTTGTAATTGTTTTCTTTAATAAATACATGATCATAAATTCTAGTAGAGAAAGAGATAGTAAAAGTTCCCTCCTGTTATACCTCCCACCAGAAAGTTTAGTGTGTGATCTGCGGATCTCTTCTGTATGTGTACACGTGTGCATGATGTATCAACACACAAGTATCTGCCCTGAACAAGAGTGTGGATGTGTACTGCTTGGTTTTCATTTGTGGCTCGGTTTCATGGAGGTATGTATGGATATTCTTCACTGTTTTCAGTGATTTCGTAATATCAACAAATGTTACTGGCCTAATTTTCCCATTTTTATACTTCTATAAACTGCTGCAATGAACATCCTCATACTGTGGCTTTTGTGACACTTGTATGGTTTGCTTGGTTTTTCTGATGCTGAGATTAAACCCAGGAGCACTCTACAAATGAGTATATCCCTAGCTTATATTTTTTTATTTTGAGGTGGGGGTCTTGCTAAATTGCCCAGGCTATTCTCAAAGTTGTCATCCTCCTGCCTTGGCTTCCCTGATTTATTTATTTATTGATCGATTGATTTTTTTTTTTTTTTTTGAGACAGGGTCTCACTATGTAGTTGAGACTGACCCAGAACTCACTATGTAGTCCAGGCTGGTCTCGAACTCACAGCAATCCTCCTGCCTCAGCCTCCCGAGTGCTGGGATTACAGGCTTGCACCACCATGCCTGGCTTTCGATTGATTTTTTGAGGCAGGTTTTTCACTATGTAGTTGAGACTGCTCTGGAACTCATTGCATAGCCCAGGCTGGTCTCGAACTCACAGTGATTTTCCTGCCTCAGCCTCCCAAGTGCTGGGATTACAGGTATGCGCCACCACACCTGGCCTTCAGCTTCCCTGAGATTATTAGTATGTGCTACACACTCTGATATTTGTATTTTTTTTTTCCCCCAGTAGAGGGAATCAAACTCAGGACCTTGCCTTTGTCAGGCAGGCATGGCACCACTGAGCTAAATCCCCAGTCCTTGTATTGTTTTTAAAAGATAGGACTAATAACTCAAATAGAAATAAATATGACTTCAGAAGAATATTTTCTAACATAGTTTAACAAAATATTAGTAAGTGCTCCTGGAAAAACATCAGTACCATAATCCAAAATCTTGGGAAATACTATATAATTTTCCAGTCACTATTTTCCTTATGAATTAGATGACTGTTAATAGTTATTGAACTATGGTGATTATATAAAACATACAGAAAAGGTAATATGGAAATACCAGATACTTATTTTGAATCTGTCACAGACACCTCAATGTTTTGATTCCCCTGTGTATGTCCTCATGCTTGATTATATGCTGTTGCTTCGAAGGCAAGTTACATAAATGACTTCAGTTTCTTCTCTAGCCAGTCTAACAAAATGACTTTCAAATAAGAGTATGATGTCCATAAACCTAAATCCAACACTTAAACCATACCACGAAGTAAGAGCTTTCCTCTTAGTGCTTTTTTAAAGTATTCTTTTTAATTCTTCGTGTTCTATAACAAGGAGTACAGTCCTGTGTCACTTGACGGGGTCGCAATCTGACACGTGCACAGGTGGGCAATTTCACTGTTTGTAGACATCACAGAGCACAGCCATAGCTGTACAAACCCGCATCAGGGTCTGCAGGCTGTGACTGAAACTTTGTGGTACATGACAACTAATAAAGTACCTTGTGATTGGAAAATTGCAGTGTTTCTGTCCCAATGAACTTTAATTTGACATTCAGATCTTGATTTTCATAAAATCACATAGTAGCTAAAAACCATAAATCCTTGAGTGCATTTTGCCTGATGCCCTGGTTAGATGTGTTGCTTCAGGCATTTTCAGGTCCCCGAGACCCCTTGCTGGGCTACTGTCCACCTCTCAGGGAATAGGGAGAGGGAAAGCTATTAAGCACCTTGTACCTTTGGCTCCAAGTCTGTGCAGGTTGATTTTTTTTTTTTTTTTTTGTGGGGGAATCCATGCGGTGGCAGCACTGAGCTAAGTCTCTGGCCCGTTTGATTTTTTGAGGCACTGGGTTGGGGGTGGGGTTCCTCGCTGTGTAGTTCAGCCTGGTCTTAAACTCACTATGTAGCCCAGGCTGGTCTTGAACTCACATTGATCCTCCTGCCTCAGCCTCCCTAGAGTGCTGGGATTACAGGTGTGTGCCACCATGCCTGGCGGCATTACTTTTTAAAACATCACATTGGTATATTGTTGGTTTAGCTAATCTAAGATCCCTATAGTCAATCTAAGTATTAAATACTATAGTTTTGGTCTTCCCCCAAATAATTTGCTTATAAGATGTTGGCAAACACTAAAAACTTCATAAAATATAATAATTTATAAATAAAATGACAATGAAGAATAGTAATAAATTTTCTGTAGAAAAAGCTTGATTAAACTCCTAAAATTAAAAAATCCTGGGAAGCACACAGCTTCTCAAGAGGTATCAATATCTACAAAGTCCCTTTTCAAAGTCTCTTGGTGTTGGGCACTGATCACAGGGCCTGGCACGTGCTAGGCAGGCACCGTACCACAGAGCTACGCTTAGTCCCAAAGTCTCTTGAATGTAAAAAGCTCTCAGTTCTGATTCCAAGTGGTTGGTCTGTCTTCAAAATACAATATTTGATGGCAAAGAACAGGATCTTTTAAGAGTTCTTGTGTAGTTTGGATCTGTTGGAGGGTACTGGATTGAACAAGCACAGCCCACAGAATTAAAAGTCTGGGTACTTAAATGTATAGAATCACACAAAACAGAGAATTGTGAAGATTTCTGCCAGGGCTTTCTGATTGGAAAGTTCTCTTTCATAGGACTTTTGTCTTTGTTTTCTTTTGAGGCCGTGTCTTTGTCTTCCAGTGCTCGAGCAAGCATGTAACTAACTTTTCTCTGATGAGCCAGCGCTTCTTCTTTATCATTCAACTGCATGCACAGAAATTTAAAAGGTACTCATTAGTCCACAAGCCACAGAATTTATTCAGAAGAGGATTATCGGTATTTTATCAAAATATTCAATCCTACATCTATAAAGTCATTGATATGAATTGTCATCTAATTTCCAAATGCTGCACTTAACTCCAGACTTTTTTCTTTTTGTTTTTTGAGACAGGGTCTCACTGTGTAGTTTAGGCTGGCCCTGAACTCACTACATAGTCCCGGCTGGCCTCAAACTTGCAGCAATCCTCCTGCCTCAGCCTCCCAAGTGCTGAGATTACAAGCATGGGCTACCATTTCTGAAAGGATTTGTTTTTAAGAGAAGGAAACAGAAGATGGCATTATTTCTGTTGAAAATTTTATAAGTCTAAATCTACAAATTGTGTGTGCGTGTGTGCGTGCGCACGCATGCACGCACACTTAGTTCTAAGGGAATGGTGAAGTTACCGACAGTCTTTACAGTTAAGTATCTTCAAAATCCCAGAGTCAGGGTCTCAGTTCAGTTGAGGCATCTACTGAGGTGATGAAAGGACCCAGTGTGGTACGGGGCCTCGACTCAGATCCTGAATAAAAGTGGGTCTCGACCCAAACTGTCTGCCTGTGTTACAGGGGCCTCCAGAGGTGGAGCGTAGCCCTGACAGGAGAGGAGCGTGGGCAGAGTGGAGAGGCATGCCGGGAGTGTGAGGAGAGGAGGTCCCGTCATGGACTTGGAGAATGGTACCCCAGCTGGGAGAGGGCATCAGAGGCAGTACAAAGAAAAAAATACCAAGTGAGTAGGAAACCTAGATTAATCACAATCTTTAACAAAAATAAAGTGAAGGTACTAACCAAATCTATGAGCATCTTAAAGACTTCTTGAGGATTACCCTGGTCTTCAGTCCTCTTAGAACTGTTTTCTGAAGGCAGCATACCCAGCAGTTTCTGCCCTAATGTCTTCTTACTCCTTTGTGGTTGATGTCCTAAAACTGAACATGAAAATCCATGTGAGACAACAATCCCTTCAGTGATTATTTCCAGAAAAGAGGTAACTGTGGACAAGGCTGGTGGACTCCTAACCAGCCCAGGGTGGTCAGACAGCAGAGGCAGGCAGCACAGAGCTGGAAGGGGACACGCAGGTGAGCAGGTGACAGAGCCACTGTGTCAGACCCCAGGCTCTACCCTGCCTTGCAGGACGGCCTGCTTCAGGGCCGGCTGGTGGCTGTGTGAGAATGCAGTTGGGTCACTCAGTCACAGACTTTGGGAACAGCCGGAAATCCAGATTTGTATGTGAAATCTCCCAATTTTAAAAGTGACCCACTAACCCACATTATTTGAAAAGACTGTGTACACCCAGCAGAAACGTCTCAGGCCACAGAGGCATCTGAACAACGTGCACTGACTCAGCCCCTTACTAGGTTCTGGATCAGCCATCAGCTTGCCTAGCTTCATTTTCTTTTCCTCTAAAATGAAAATACCATTACCTGCTTCTCAGGGTACCTATGCCATGGAATTCTAACCCCTGGGCTGTCAGGAGCAGGGGGCCACTGTCTAGTGCACAGTTTCTGCCCAGGAGCTGGATGGTGGTGGTGGTTACACAGCTATGTGGATACCTGCTGCCACTGAAGAATAGTTCAAATGGTGAACTTTGTGCATACTTTATCGCAATGAAAAAAACAGTTGTGGCATAGTATTAATACTCTACAATGTGACATACATATACCGACCTTTATCTAAAAAAGGAAGATAATTTGTAGAAGGTAAAAAATGTGAAATTATACAAAGGAAATTTGAAAATGATTTGTAATAGTTCACAATTGATCTTATAGACAACTATTGCATTTGGGGGCCAACTTCCTCCCTACCCAATCCTAACAGACCACAGTGCCTTGGGCTTGGACTGCAAGGAACTGTGGGAAAAGGAAAAGCCAGAGGAGCTGATGAACTTTTTTTTTTTTTGGTGGTACCAGGGATTCAACTTGGGATCTTGTGCTTGTGAGGCAGGCAATGGAACCACGGAGCTACATCCTCGGCCCATAAGCTGATGAACTTTATGATACATGAATCTTTATGCTAAATCTAAAAGAAGACAATGCCTGTAACAGCTCTGAGAACCTGAGCTGCCACAACAAAAACAAAGTACGTAATAATTGTTACAAAACATAAAATAACCTATAAAATCACCCCACACTTCTGACTGGTGAAATATACTGATGAAAGGAGTCAAAATCCTGTCACCTAGAAACTTAGAGCCACTGAGCATGGACTTGTAAAAACTTTAAGTAGTGAATCAATTATGGTGCTGGGGATTGAACCTAGGACCTTGTGTGTGCGCATCAGGCACTCTACCTCCGAACCACACCCCAGCCTGAGTCAGCTCCAATTCTGCAGTCTCCCAGGGCCATACTGAAACAGGCCATGGGAGTTACACCTCTAGAATCATGTTTTCTATGGTAAAATTCTTCAGGTTTGTCAGCAGCTCAGTAGGATACTATGACAGAGAAAGATAAGTGTGGTCTCTGTACCTGGGTTCCTGACACAAAGCTAAAACCCTTCTAGAGAAAAACCCTTCTTAGGAGATTGGTCTTTGACGCAGGTTCCTAAGACAACTCCTAAGACCAATATGCCATAATTTTCTGAGTGACAGGAGTATCTGACAGCTCCTAAATCTCCTGCAGTCTGGGGAAAGAGCATCTTGTGTTCCAGTGATGATCTTGGGAGGGGAGAAGGGCTGGAGGTAGAGCAGAACACCAGTGGCCTGGAATTTAGCCCACCTGGCTCTTCACCAGCATCCTTCGTAACATCCTGTACCATATATCAGTGACTGTTTTCCTGAGTCTTCTAGCCCTCCTAGCAGTTTCAACTGGGGCGGGGGCGTGTCATGGGTCCTCCAGTTCAGTCAGATAGGTGACACCATACTACTTTTGGCTGGCCTCAGAAGTGAAGGCCCTCTTACAAGACAGCTTTTAAACCATGGGATCTGACTACAGGGAGACAGTTTGAGGTCTAAACCAGCTGGATAGTGTCCCAAGGGAGAACTGGTTGCTTGCTGTATTGGGGCTCTCCCCCATCTGGTGTCAGAAACTATGGTGAGTGGGATGTGAGAATAGAAAAGACACTTGTGTTTTTCCTATCTCTTCTGCTGAGAAAGACAAGAATTCTGGGATCTAAAACAAGCACTTAGGTGGATATGGTGGTGCACGCCTGAAATCCCAGCACTGCGGAGGTTGAGGCAAGAGGATCACAGTGATTTAAGGCTAGGCTAGGCTACACAAGCCAGTCTGAACCACAAAGCAAGACCCTGTCTCAAAAAACAAAAACAAAAACAGCAAGCCTGGAAACAATACTTAATTTCAAATCCTGCTGCAAAGCCACAGAACAAAAACAGCATGGTACTGACACAAAAACACATGGACCAGCGGAACAGAATAGAGGGAGGACATGGAAACAAACCCATGAAACTACAGCCATCTGATTCTGGACCGAGGAACATTATCAAGCTGGAAAAGATGGGAGTCTTAACAAATGGTGCTTGAAAAACTGGCTATCCATGAAGAAGACTGAAACTAGGTCCCTTTCACCCTGTACAAAATCAATTCAGAGTAGACCAAATACAATTATCAAGCTGGAAAAGATGGGAGTCTTAACAAATGGTGCTTGAAAAACTGGCTATCCGTGAAGAAGACTGAAACTAGGTCCCTTTCACCCTGTACAAAATCAATTCAGAGTAGACCAAATACATAGGTATGCCACCTCTAACTTTGCTTTCTTTTTACTAATGTGTATTTGCAGTACACAGTGATTAACACTTATCATGGGGAGTTGGTACATGTATATAACACATCTTATTTCCTCTCCCTCCCTGAAGACCTCAAACTTTGAAACTGCTAAAGGAAAACACGTGAAGCTATAGGCATAGGTAAAGACCTGGACAGGACACCAATAGCACAGAAAATAGTAACAAGAATCGACAAATAAGACAGCCCCAAATTAAAAAGTTTCTAAGGGAAACAACTAACTTACAAGACAGCCTATAGACTAGGAGAATGTCTTTACTAGCTATTCTTCCCACAGAATAGATCCCACAGGATTAATATCGAAAACAAAAAACTCAAAAGAATTAACATCAAAAAATCAAATAGCAAGCCAGGCGTGGTGGTGCACACCTGTAATCCCAGCACTTGGGAGGCTGAGGCAGGTGGATCACAATGAGTTGGAGGCCAGCCTGAGCTAGGCCAGCCTGAGCCACACAGTGAGTTCGAGTCCAGCCTGAACCACATTATCAAGACCCTCTCTCAAAAATATAGTTTAACAAATAGGCGAGTGAAGTGAACAGATATTTCTCAAAAGACATACATGGTATGGTGGGAAGGGAAAGTAAAAACTAAGGTTCGATGTCTGTATATACCAGTTCTCCAAAACGCATGCAATTACATGTTGCAGAATATACTTTTTGCAAAATATACTATTAAAGTATTAATGGCCAGTAAGTATATGAAAAAAATGTTCCGCATCTTTAGCCATTAGAGAAATGCACATCAAAACTACATTCAGGGAGGGGATGTAGCTCAGCAGTGCAGCACCTGCCTCGTAGTCATGAGGCCCTGAGTTCAATTCTCAACACCAAACAAAAAGAGTAAAACTAGAGCCTCCATTTGACCCAGTGATGACTCCTTCATACACATACATGCACACACACACTCAAAGCGCACGGTGAGGATACTTACACACACGTGTTTATTTGGTGCAGTTCACAACCAAGATAAGGGAACTGGCCTAGAAGCACATCAACAGAAGGACAAAGAAAATGCAGTAGGTATACATAATGGGGTATTATTCAGCCAGATGGAAAAAGAAAATTCCAGCTTTCACAGGAAAATGGATTGATCTGGAGACCATCATATTGAGCAAAACAAGCCACATTCAGAAAGACAGATATCAAATGTTCTAATATGTGGAATCAAAAAAAGATTTCAAGAAAGTAGCAGGGTGACTATAATTAGACAAGAGGGAAGAAACAGGAAGGAGGGGAGGAAGCAGTGACGGGCAATGAGGGAGCAGATATGAGCAAAATACACGCACTGAAACCCCCTCCAAAGAATATGAAGTGGGGGAGTGGGGAGGCGTGACGATGATCAAAGTATACTGTGTACGTGTATGAATCAGCCAGAATGAAACCCATTAGTCTGTATAACCAACTTAAAAGTGGAAATTAAAACACCTTCTCTACAGGGCACCTCTGTGCAGCAAGGGGTCCTTCTCCCCAGGACAACAGACAGGCTTTCCAAAGACTCCTTTGGCCTTGCTAGCCCTCCTTTGCTTCTCCCGCCTCTCTTTCCTCCACCTCCATCAAAATAAACTCATGGCGAGCTCTGATTTCCAAAGAGATCGCCTTCTTTGGCCAACACGGGCCACCACAGCTCTCTGTACAGGAAACCTGGGCAAACGAGTCGAGCTCGGACCCAGGGCCCAGCTGGGGAGGAGACTTCGGAAGACAACTGAGTGCTGTCTGCGGCAGGGCTAGATCCATAGGCTCACCACTGCTTCCTGCATGGACCATGCTAGCTCTTTTCCCCTGGCAAAATCACCACCTTCAGCTTTTATCAAGGGAACTACTGTGGAAAAGTCATAAATACTGATTTTGTTTTTACTATAAATTATTGCTGAGCCATTTCTTTTTTTTTGTACTGGGGATCCAACTGAGGACTGTGTGCTTGCAAGGCAGGCACCATGCTGCTGAGCTAGCCCTGCCCCAAGCCATTTATTTTCTCAGTGGACTCTGAAAGTCTTATATCCAAAGACACTTGTAGGATTTAATTTCAGGACAATGTGAATGCCTTTTTGGGAATGAAAGTTGTAGGATGTTACATTGGTCCCTTTTTGCCCTAATAAGCATTCTTAAAGTTAAGAGCTTTTGTGGGCATGGTGGTGCATGCCTGAAATCCCTGCACTCAGGCTGAGGCAGGAGGATCACAAGTTCAAGCCCAGCCAAAACTACATAGCAAGACCCTATCTCAAAAAACAAAAAAAAGAGCTTTTACGATTTGTTTTTACTGTTTTCATAGTTCCAATTTACTACTTATATTTTAATTATCCTATATTAGGGGAAGTTAATGAAGCTAAGATATACAGTTGGCCTATATACCATTTATAATGTATATTATTGGAGAGAAATATTTCAAAACTGTAACCTATATTGATGGTTTCATTTTTATTAAACCTGATCTGAATATGATTTGTTGGAATTAGAATTATGGATTCGGTATATTAGAAAACATTTAGAAATACAGTCATCTCAGAATTTTTACACTAAAACATTTAAACTTCTTAGAAACTAATCCTTTACTGATAGTTTCGTAACTTTTGTTTTCTTTTTCAGTAGCATAAATTGAACCTACAGCTGTGCTATATCCCCAGCCCTTTATTTTTTAATTTTTTTATTTGTTTGTTTGTTTTTGAGACAACTCACCATGTAGTTGAGACTGACCTGGAACTCACTATGTAGCCCAGGCTGGTCTCAAACTCACAGCGATCCTCCTGCCTCAGCCTCCCCAGTGCTGGGATTACAGGCATGCGCCACCACACCAGCTCCAGCCCTTTTTTGTTTTGTTTTGGTACCAGGGATTGAACTCAGGTCCTTGTGCTTTCAAAACAAGTGCCAAAACCACTGAGCTAAATCCCCAGCCCATCCAGTCCCTTCTAAAAAATTATTTTGAGATAGGGTCTCACTACGTTGCACAGGCTGGGCTCAAACTTGTGACCCACCTGCTTCATCCTCCCAGAATGCAGGGATTATAGCCATCCACCACAACACTCAGAAAAATAATTTCATATAATTGTCATTTTAAAGTGATATAACTTCTACTGAATAATATTGATAAGTGAAAATTGATTTACTAGAGAAACTAAAACTTCTAAAAAATAATGGCTCATTTGTTTATTTCAGAATATCTTTTTTTTTTTTTTTTTTTT